CTCTAGCTTAGCTTCCTTCCCTTTGGACGCCACCTTACTTTAGTGTATGATCACAGCGGGGTTAAAGTTTGGGGTAATGCTTGAAATATTCCCTGCAGTTGTTGGCGACTCCACTGGGGAGGATTTCTATTTTAATTCCTTAAATTTATTTCAGCAATGATTTAGAATGAGTGGATGAGACTCGAAAAGTTCTATGTATTTCATGTGCGTAATTTTGATTAACATTATTGTCATATGCATACAAAAAGGTTTTCATTGAAAAGACCATCCGTAATGAGTCAGAAACATAGGATTTTTACACATAGGAAATTTGAGGAATATCTTTCACAACTAGGATCGAAATAATGCTGCGAAAAACTAGAAAATTTAAGAACACAGAAAGCTGCTGAGGCATGTAGGGACTGGCGTCTAGAAAATAGAGCATGTCGCCGAAAATATGGCTTTGTTGCCAAGCGAAAATTCAGTCGCCAGGCGACAGGGCTATATTACGGCGACAGTCCCTGTTAGCTGGCGCTGCGTTCTTCCAATACCGAGCCAGAAATATACGTTCTTATTTCGACCAGTTCTAGCACTGGTTGCTCGATTCTACTTCCCGATTGAGTTTTTCTCACTAATCTGAAACCCATATGTGTTCTACATATGGACATAACCCTCTGGGAATTCATGCTCCATCTACCCGATTGAACGCTCTGAGCATCAAAGGGTACATCCGAGAATGTTGAATTCACCAAAACATGGAAGCGAGTTTAACTCGCGGAGTCCCATCCACTCGCGTCAACCCTTCTAAAGGTAAGGCTTCCGCGCGGTGCATCCAGAATCAAACCATGGACCCTCTTTAACTAACCCATATCCTGAACTTTAGAGAACTCGAGTCATGGTTAGGTTGCAAACTCATTGCATCACGTTGTGACTACTTGACTACTTGTGCATCTCTTACTTGTGCATACTTATTATGTGACTAAACTAACCGATTAGTTTGACTTGTGTTTGTAAATAAGTCTTAATAAACTAACCAATGACTAAAGGGCTTTGCTTAATTAATTGATTAATTAATTTGAACTAAAAAATATGCATTAAATCAAGTCATATTTCTTTTAATTCAACCCGATTTTTTGTCTCATATACTGCACAAGCGTCAACTTGTTTTTTTCATAGCCGGAGTTCTAGGAAGAACTACGAGTCGCACAACCTGTGGATCTGTAGCCCCGAGTTTTATCTTTAATTTGGCGTTGGTTTCATACCAATCAAGTCCCAGATCAAAAGTTATGACTAAATTACCACAGCCTGTCCAGTTTAATGCATATACATGAAATCTTAACTTAGTCTTTGTTTGAGTCTAGTCACATAGTCTAGCCACATGGTCATGACACGAGTCTTAATATGTCACCTACACTCACTAGTCTTAGTAAACACTTTTGGTATATGTCACCATGACCATGTCTTAGGTTCATGCATGAGTCGGTTTTTTCCATCATTGGAGTTGGGGGTCCATTCTATTCCTAATTCTTCCATATTTCTCCATCTACATCATCTTCCTACTCTCCACATACTTTCTCCGCACATATCATTCCCTTCATTCTTCCATGATCATTTCCCATCCACGCATGTTGAATCAAGTTTGAGTCATGTGATTGATAATTAAAAATAAAAAAAAATAAAAAAAGTAATGATGAGACAAAACACAAGGCAAGCTTCTCACCAAGATTTCATGTTTTCTTCTTCTATTTTTTAAACCTTTCCCCCATAAGTCCAGCATAGGCACCCTTTGTCTTCCTTAGATTTGTTTCATAGGTTTTTTATTTTGTTCCTCTTTAATAAAATGAGCATTTATTTCCTTGCATATGATCATTGCATTGCATATAAAAAAATAAAAAATAAAATAAAAAAATCCATGTCAAATTAAGCGTAAGGTATACCAATGATTTGAGGCACCCTTTGTAGCCACATCATATCACCTTTCACCCTTCAAATATGCAATCCTTTTTTGATAAACAACTTTGTGCCTCGTTTAACGATAGACCTTTTATTTTTCAACCCATATCTACCTAACCTTGGGATGGGATGGTGTGCAACTTATGCAATTTTCAATTTCATAAAAAGCTTGAGTGACTTCAAAAGATTAAAATAGCAAAAAATGAGCAAATAAATAAATAAGTGTGCAAAAGGGCAAGTGTTCCAATGTCTTTGATATGAAAATGTCTTTGATAAGAACACATCTTGGATTGCGTTTCTTATCGAGTGCTCGGTACCGTGCCTGAGAAACATGAATGCCAAGTGAGTGATAGACTGCATGATCGGGATTTCCCACACTTATCAAAAAAGGTTCAAAATAAAAAAAAAATATGCAAAAGCAAAAAAAAAAGAGCAAAAAAAAAAAAAAAAAAAAAAAAGATCTCTTCTTGAAATAATATTTTTCCACACACTTAGCCTTTGCGGCATAACTTTAGTGTCTTTATCACACACATCACAAATACATGACCAAATATACTTCCCTTAGGAACCCTTTGTCATGAAATCTTAACATAACGTTGAAGCATGCCTTGTCATATCAAGATAAATCATCATTACATCACAAAGTATGAAGTACTTAGCCTCCGTGCATAAGTTACCTAAATACTTTCATTATCAAGTCAATGTTGGGGTTTGGTGAGTCCGACTCACCACGGAAACAACCCCAACCTAAGGAACCACTCGTAATTAATAAAACCATAAAGCATAAATAAATAAACACAAGAAAAGAAAGAACGAATCATACCCTTGAAGCGAGATTCGCCCTCCCAAAACGGGCTCATACTTGAAAGCCTTGAGCACCGCAAATGCCGTGCCTCCAACGGTATCCACCCACAAAGGACGAACACGACTTTTTAGGTCCGCAACCTTGGATTTAGCAAGGTCCGACCAAAACCCAAGTGTTAATGGAGTTTAAGAGTTTTTCCAAAAATATGGAATGCTCTTTCTAACTCCCACTCAAGCACTTTACTCCAAATCCCAAGGTTGGTATTTATAGAGGAAAGTATGAGTGGGAATTTCTATCCCATCAATGTGGGATCATGAAATTCCACAAATTAATTTAAAGCTAAATTAAATTAAAATTGCAAACTAATAATAAATCTACAAGTGGCATTACCATGTGAAATGGGTTGGTGAGGACCACATGGAGAGTAGGGGACCATACTTGCTCCCCACTCAATACTCTCCTTGTGCCACATGTCCCTCGCCCCACTTGCTTCCATATTCCTCAAGCTTCCCCATAGTGACCGGCCCTATGGCCCAGCCACAAGCCCAGCCCGAGCCCAGCCCCGCACCAAGATGCGGGCTGCTGCTGTGCGCGCAAGCCACGCACTTGGTGCAGGCTTGCTGCTGAGCGTGGCTGCTAGTGCGTGCTGCTAGCACGCCTAGCTTGCGGCAGCTACCTGCCGCACGCACCACGTGCACGCGGCTGCTAGCTGCTGCTATGCGTGGCTGCTAGCACGGTGCGCTAGCACGCACCTAGCCAGCCATGCTAGGCTCGGATTGGTGCGCTTGCTAGACACCTATGCTTGGACATATTTGCCCCTAGCATTCGGATGCTCAGGGCACTCCGATGCTAGGGGTATTTTGGGAATATGGTCGATTTATTATTATTTTGCGCGTCTCGTCTTTTTATTATTTTTTACTCGACTTCTGACGATCGGTTTCGACGCTCCAAGCTCGAATTACCGACGTCTAAATATTTAACACTCGGGCGACAAATTAATTTGTTCCGAATTAATTCGCCGAGTCGGTTCGTATATTTTGCTTGGGTGTGACCGGAAGGGTTCAATCAGGTTTAAGCTGTAATATTAATTATATTAATATTACTGATCGGAAGCGGCCTCCACCCAGGCATTCCGATCACTTAACCTTACTGAATATATTAGCTTTCTAATAATTCTGAACCCGCTATCAGAATAATACATTTGTTCGAAGGACACCATTTCTTTTAGTCAACTAGGATTGTCTAGATGTTACAATCCTTGTATTGTGAGAGACAACTTTAACGGATTAAGCTCATTCAACATGCACCTTCAAAAACTTCGCTTCTTACTTTTTTTGCGTCTTTCTTTTTCGGGAGAAAGTCGGTACCCTCCACAAAAATGACGGAATTTTTTTTTTCTGCATGAGTCAACACTCCGCACACACGAGTCACATGAAGTGAGTCGTCATACCTTGAGTCGTGTCAAGTCAATGAGTCAAGCAACACTATGTCTTAGGTCAACCCTAAAGAAAAATAAGCAAAGTCCTATAGTCCAAAATATAAATGCAGGTACATTCCATTTAGCAAGAACATTCCCGGACTTTTTCGAAAAGCCGCGAATGAAAACCTGACTCCAGCATCAGACAACAAGGTTGTCGCCTTGCGACAACATCTGTTTCCTGGCAACGATGATTTCCAGCGAGCGCCGGTGCAGCAACAAGATACCTGGCCTCATATTGGATTATGCAGATCTCTTACAGCAATTTTGGGTTCCTTGGTACGCCAGTTAGCCCCTATAAGCAAATTAACATGATTAGTAGTCGGCTCGATTACAATCGCAATAAGTGATTGACCTGATGACGATCGTCTCACTTAGCTTAAGCACCTAAGCATTGTCTCATTACAAGCACAAAGGCATCAGTTCAAAAGCAAGCACTTATACGACAATTTTTCCAAGATTGGATTGTCATCCAACCGACAATATTTCCAAATATGGAATATCGCGCATATTCTTCAACGACAGTTTTCCAAGATTGGATTGTCATCTCTGGCAAAGTTTCCAAGCGTGGATTGTAGTGCTCCTTCTATGTTTGGCAAATTTTTCCAAAGTTTGGATTGTCATCGCTGGAAAGTTTTTCGAGATTGGATTGCACTACTACAGTTTTTAGACGCTAATAGCTCGATGCTATCAAAGACTGTCAAATGAATTTAGGAATCTCGTGCTTTGTTGACTCTTTTCTGCGACATTGGTATATCTCGTCAACAAAAAGTGTCAAAATGTCTTTGACTTAATCACATGCCATTCACGTGTCATTTCTAGGCGGGGAGTTTTGTTTTCTTTTTTTGAAGTAAACATAACCCACTTTCATGTAACTTCTCAACCCTAGCCATCTTCTCTCTCATCTATCCCTCCCTCTACTCAGAGATAAGCAAAAATTATCAAAAAAATTCCCATCTCAAATTGCTTATCGCTGTAAATTCATTAGATTTTGTGTTCAAATAGTAGGTTCTTGTGCTTATCTTACCCCAAAACATTATCGCAGAAGCCAAAAACGTCTCTTTTTTCTGAGTATTTGCTTTACTATTCAACATCGAGCCATATGGCGATTTTAGAGGATCTGAGTGTTTCGGAACACTAGCACCACATCAAACCATCATTTTCCTGTGGGTACAATATATCTATTTTCCCTCTAATTTCTTGTTTGTTTTCTTGCAAATTTTCTGTGATATTAATCGTTTATTGTATTGAATGCAAATGGGTATGTTTTCATCTGTTAATTTATATTTTGGTTCATTAAGAGATGAATATTTTAATTTGAAGGTTTATTGAATTCTTGAGTTTGTTGAGCATATATAGTCTTACTTCTATGTATTTGCAACTCCTTTGTTTTTAATCCTTTTGTTCTCCTTATTATATAAAAGAAAAAAAAAGTTATCTCCTAACTTTAATTTGTCAAAAAATTGATGTTTCATTATAAATTAGTTGGGAGTGCACAAAGTAGAAAAATTAAATGATGAAATGTCCATTTTATAGTTTATGGAAAATGTTATGATTCGCTTATCTCGTATTCATTTGGGGTCTCTTGTTCTGTTTTTTTTTTTACTTGCTTTCTCTTTGTATTAGATGTTGTTGTGACTTATCTCCTTATCCTTTATTTTGTAAATGATGATTCTTTTTAAATTTTAGCTATGTTATCACCCCCCAATAAGTATGGCTTCAAGAATTTTTGTATGTCATTGATGTGAGGCCATATTCCAGTTTTAAAGTTTTGTTATTGAGGAGCTGTAGAAATGAAAGTTGAAATACTAATTTTAATTAATCTTACTTTCAATCTTATATCCTCCCTTTCTTAGTTGTTTTTTACAAGGTTTATAGTTGAGTTGTATTGATAATTAGCAAAGAAACAAAGTTGGTGAGCTGCTAGTACTGACCTTCCTCTTGTTTTGGTTTTAGTGTGATCTTGCTTGAGTTAGGATATTGCCATTTGAAACAATAATCATTCACTATGGTTGTGACCTACTTATAAATGGTATATTCTAAAGGATAAGAATCATGGTCACATGAGAATAAGAGTCATATTTTTTAGACCAGTGAATATAAAACTCCCCTATTGTTTCATGTGGTAGTTGGTATAGACATGTTCTAGAGTTGAAATATACTCAAATATAAGGCTAATTAATGAAGCATAAGGCATAAAAGAACAGTATGCTTTCTTATCAATGAGTTAATAAAAATAAACTAATAGTTATGCCTGGTTTTATCTTAATATATCTACCTTTTGTTTTGCAATTATATATAGACTAAAATACAGCTTCATTCCATTCATCCCCCCCCCCCTCTCTTGCCTCCTTGCCTTTTATGCATGGTATTTAGAAGTGGGGGACGGTGATTAGATGCTAAGTTACCATGTCATTAAACTTGCTCTACAAGCTGAAACTGGACTTTAACCTTTGGGACAGTTTTAAACTTGCTAATATCTCTTCCTGGATCCTCATTTGACATTCTTATTCCATTGGGTGTTTACTGTTATTTCTATCAAACATTCAAGAATAAAGCTGAAGCTATTTCTCTTTACCGCAGGAAGAAAGAAGACTTGGGATGGATTGATTTGCATGTTATCATCATTAATCATGGCTGATATGTCTGGGTGATTACTTTTCTAATTTTGTGCTTATATTTCATAATTTTTGTATTATGATTATCTCTGAATTGATTATCTAAACTTGTTTCCACAAATTTCAAGAAAGTAGTGATAGTAATTGGAATGGAAGATTATATATACACGAGAACAACGAAGTCGAGCGTGTTTTAATTATTAACTACAATTGATTTTCCAATAATTAGTGATGATTATGAGTTTTCCAACCTTTAAACTCTAGAATAATGAGTTACTTGAGAAACAAAGTTGATGTCTCAATTAGTATGTCAATAAATGGAACTACTGGCTTCTGGTTAAAAGAAATGACGTCAGCTGAGACAGAAACAACAGGTTAGGGATTTTTTTTAAACGAACAACCTTCCCTCAGCTTCACCACGCGCTTGATGATCCTCTTCCTCCCACCATATTCAAACACAAGTAAGCATTCTACACCTTGTCTCCTTCCTCTTCCCCTTGCCCCACCACTAAATTAAAAGACATACATAAGAAAAAAATGTACACAACTTGGACATCTTAATTGATTTACTTGACCTCACACAAGTATCCCTTATTCTTTCTTGAGTTTCTTGTACTTGGTGACGAGCACAATCATATTTACTTTTTGTTTCGTTTGGTTGAAAACTTGAATCTTGGCAACAACAATTTAAAGTGTCAAGATTTTGTAATATAGAAGGAAGATCTTATGGTTGTCCTAATATTTCATTTTTTTTCCACAGGTTTACATTAAAGACTTTGAAATTCCAACAATTTTTTTTATTGGCCCCTCAAGTAAAAATTGAATCCATATTGACAAGGCTGGTTTCTATGGGTTATAGCTGCCTCTTGGTTGCTGCTGAAATTTATGGTTGCTCGATGGTGGTGGTGGTGGTGCTGCTATTAACAATATCTTGCGTATAAACCATTATATTTATTGTGTATAAACCATTATATATATTGTGTATAAACCATTGTAATTTTTAAAATTTTTTATAACAATATCAACATTTATAAATGAAAATATCCAATATTATGCATGTGTAAATGTTTGTACCAAGTTAAGGTAAAAAAGGCAGGAAAAAAAAGAATATGTAATATAGGTGCATGTTCCTCTGCAAACCAGTGCCAAAGTGACAAATAAAAAAACATAATTCTTCACGCGTTATTGTGTAGAAACTTGAGGTTTAATTTAAAATTTCCTAAAGAAAGAATAGACGCAAAAAAGCGTCGAGAAACTAGGGACAACAGAAAGCGTCGCTAATTCATACGTCTTAGACAACAAAAAGCGTCATCAAAGTTAGGAATCTCGACGCTTTGTATGAAAAATTGGACAATAAAAGGCGTCAAGAATCTCGACTCTTTTTAGCGACTTGGAAAATTCTTGACTCACTTATTTTCGATGCTTTTTAGAAGCGTCGAGAAATATATTTTCGACGCTTTTTTCGCGTCGATAATTAGGCTTAAAAGCGTCGAAAAAGACCGAAAATTCTAGTAGTGTTGTCATACACCCAGTTATCTATGGCAAAATTTCCCAAAGGATTGTCGTATCTTTACACATCATAAATTTCAGCAAAGGTTCCTTAAAGTGGATTGTCATTCATTTCAGTAAGTGGCAAATTTTCCCGAAGTGGATTGTCTGTTGACTCTTTTTTGCAAATGTTCAAAGACGCGGATTGTTAGTTGTAGCAATATTTTCCTAAAAGGATTGTCGCATAGCGTTGGCAAATTTCCAAGGTGGATTGCTTTCAAGAGTTATATTCCAAGATGTGGATTGTCAATTGTAGCAAAGTTCTTATGTCAGATTGTTACGAAGCATTGGCAACTTTTCCCAAAATTGAATTTTGGCAAATTTTTCGAGATACGGATTGTCAATTCATTGTAGCAACATTTCCAAGGATGGATTGTTACAAAGCATTGACAACTTTCCCTAAATTGGATTGTCATACATCATACAAAAGTTGGGTTGGCAACTATTCCCTAAGAAAAGAGGATTGTCATCACCAACAGCATCAACAGCAAAATTCAAGCAGCATCAAGGATCGACAGGCGTTGATCTTCGGTAATTTTCTTCGGAATATTATCGCAACAACTGAAGGTCGTTTCAGGAAAAGCAATCTTCGATAGTATTCTATGGCTTGCAGAAGACAATCACATCATAAATTGGAGGCAGTTACAGGCGTAGCAGTCTTCAGGAGGTATCCCCTAGCTTGAGGAAGATCGTCAAACAAAAAAAGAAGCTCTTTGTTCAGAGACGCGTGGGCATATCATTCAAATCTCTTTATTAAGAGATGCGTGGGCATATCCAAAAAAATCTATTGTTCAGAGACGAGTGAACATCAGCAACAGCAAGATGGCGTTCCCTAGTCTGTGAAAGGTTGTCACAACGACGAATGCAGCAACAAATCATTTACTTCAGAGACGTGTGCTCGACGATGCAAGATACGCGTTTTTTAACTCTTTTATCTGCTTAACTAACGCTAGTTTGCAAGTATCGACGTTACAAGAATGATTTAGGATTGCAGAATGTTCTGAATCATTCTCCGTCCCTATCGATACTTTGACTTTTATTTTCGAAACTTGCGTTTCTCCAAACTCAATCAAAGTGAGGGCTTCTGCAGACACCCAAATGTGTCTCCCAAAAACCAAACCCAGTGATAAATACCTTTCATGTCATTGATTATCGAACAAAGCAAAAGTGTGAAAATTCTAGTGATGAGGATGTTTTTATTAAAATATCTCTTCTTTTTATTTTTGAAAATATTTCTTTTCTTACCCTATTTTTGAAAAACATGCATTTTATTTTAGTTTGGTCCATGATATGGGTCTAATAATGGAGTAGTTGGATGGGGCTTGAAAAGACCTTTCCAACGATAATTTATAAACCCAACTCCGATAAATAATGAGGAAGTTATTGCTAAAATACTAAACTGGGCCCAAACCGGATTTTACTTACGGCCCAATGATCATGTGGAGGGTCCAAAGGTCTAATCTTATTCCTAAACTAATAAGGATTAATTAGAAGCTTCTATAAGTTTCTAAAAGATCTTAATTATCCTTTTTGAAAAGATAAGATTAAAGAATTTGAGTCAAATAAAAACTTTCCTTTTATAAAAACTTTCCTTTTTCTAATCCTAATTCTATTCGAATTTAAATATGTTCAAAGACATTAACATATTAATTTCATGCCTCATAATATTTAACAGAATTTCATATGGTTGGATATATTTTGAAATTATCTTTCCAATGATAAATTATAATATCAATTCCGAGCTGTAACGAAAAAGATATGAAAGAAATACAAAACTCTATCCAAAACTGACACCGTCCAACTATTTCAGCCATATCTTTTTATCTAAAAAATAAATTAATTTTATTATAATTGAGTTAGAAAGTAAACTTCAATAGCTTTCCAGTGACATTTTATATGCCTTTTTTGGACTTCTGGATCAAAAGATAAGATAAAAACAAAATCTGATAAAACTGTTGTCCATCAAGTTTTATTTCGATTCAAATTCGGATTCTTTTCTTTTTTTTTAGACTCTCTTTTTTCCTATAAATAGAGGTCATATCTCCACTTTTTAAATCATAAATAATCATTAAGAATTTCTTTATTTTCTCTCTCTTTCTTAACCAACCCTTTTTCAAATAAAATTCCGCATTCACAAGATCTAGACACACCTAACCAAGTTCGAAGTTGCCTTCGCCCTAGACGTGAAAGGTTTGATATTTCTGAGGGTTTGATCCCACATCCCTATTTCAATTATTTAATTCTAATTCTTTAATTTTATTATTTTTCTTGAATTTACTAACGTGTGTATTTTGTTATTAGAAAGAGATACGGGGCATTCAAGTAAGTGCTTTAATTGTTTAATCTATATTATGATATAGAAATCATATTTAGATTGTTATTTTCTTTCCTAGTATTATGTTAGGATGCTTTCCTTAGTATGATGTTAAGGATGACAACAATAAGTTCCTAATGTCAATTATGATTTCTATGATGCTTCCTATTTTCTTTCTTAATAGCATGTTAAATAGTATCATGTTAGGGCTAAAGCTTTGATTTTTATTGTTTAGTGACATGCTAGGGTTTGTTATTAATCTTGTTAGTATCATGCCTAGAATCTTGCTATTAATATTATGCTTTATTTTTAACATGAATTGATTATAATAATTTTGATTTTTTTTATAATTTATTATTATTATGTTGCTTGATTATATTTATTATTGTTATTGCTTGATCACACCTTTTATGCATGTTTAAAGGGAATTTGTACTTGTAATCACGATTAATAAGATAATTAATAATCTTGTTTAGGGTTAACATGATTATAATTCTAATGATCGCCAATAATAGTTTTATTTGTACATTAATATTCAACCAACATAGATTAAACAGGTTTAGGACAAACTTATTGATTTCATGTTAGTCAGAAAGCGCACATGAATACAAGAAGAATAAAGTAGAGGCCTATTATTAGGGTAGGTTCTTTCTCTTTTAGATTGGATTTGTACCTTCATCCCCGAACTTCCAGTCTTGGTTCCAGACCTATTGGAGTTGACGATCTTGGATCGTTAAGGGGTGTAACCTTCACGCTGTGAACAGTTTACAAGTTCATAAAACTTGTTGGCGACTCTTTTGCTCTAGCTACCTTCCCTTAGGACGCCACCGTACTTTAGTGTATGATCACAGTGGGGTTCAAGTTTGGGGTAATGCTTGAAATAATCCCTACTGTTTTTGGTGACTCCACTAGTGAGGATTTCTATTTTATTTCCTTTAATTTATTTCGGAAATGATTTATAATGAGTGGATGAGACTCGAAAAGTTCTAAGTATTTCATGTGCATAATTTTGATTAACATTATTGTCACATGCATAAAATAAGGTTCTCATTGGAAAGACCATCCGTAATGAGTCAAAAACATAGGATTTTTATACGTAGGAAATTTAAGAAATATCTTTCACAACTATGATCGAAATAATACTGCAAAAAACTTGAAAATTTAAGAACATAGAAAGCTGCTAAGGCATGTAGGGACCGGCGTCTAGAAAATAGATCCTGTCGCAGAAGATATGGCTCTTTCACCAAGCGACAATTCTGTTGCCAGGTGACAGGGTAATATCACGGCGACAGCCCCTGTTGGCTGGCGCTGCATTTTTCCAATACCGAGCCAGAAATATGCGTTCTTGTTTCGACCAGTTCTAGCACTGGTTGCTCGATTCTACTTCCCGATTGAGTTTTTCTCACTAATCTGAAACCCATATGTGTTCTACATATGGACATAACCCTCAGGGAATTCATGCTCCATCTACCCGATTGAACGCTCTGAGCAACAAAAGGTACATCCGATGATGTTGAATTCACCAAACCATGGAAGCGAGTTTAACTCACGGAGTCCCATCCACTCGTTTCAACCCTTCCAAAGGTAAGGCTTCAATGCGGTGCATGCGGATTAATAACCATGGACCCTCTTTGTCCAACTCATATCCTGAACTTTAGAGAACTAGAGCCATGGTTAGGTTGCAAACTCATTGCATCACGTTGTGACTACTTGACTACTTGTGCATCTCTTATTTGTGCATACTTATTATGTGACTAAACTAACCGTTTGGTTTGACTTGTGTTTGTAAATAAGTTTAAATAAACTAACCAATGACTAAAGGGCTTTGCTTAATTAATTGATTAATTAATTTGAACTAAAAATATGCCTTAACTTGAGTCACATATACTGCACAAGCGTCAATTTTTTTTGGTCATAGCCGAAGTTATAGGAAAAACTACGAGTCGTACAACCTGTGGATCTATAGCCCTGAGTTTTAACTTTAATTTGGCGTTGATTTCATACCAATCAGAGTCACAGATCAAACGTTATGAATAAAATACCACACCCTGTCCAGTTTAATACATATACATGAAGTCTTAACTTAGTCTTTGTTTAAGTCTAGTCACATAGTCTAGCCACATGGTCATGACACGAGTCTTAACATGTCACCTACACTCACTAGTCTTAGCACACACTTTGTATATGTCACCATG